CCACATCTACAACTCTTTCGTACCGTTATTCACTCTCTGACTCGCAATCCAATACTTCCAACGCATCCCATATTTCCATCGAATCCCATATATCCAATACTTTCAATACACAACGGAATAAACACTCAAGTGACCCCGACTGACACAGTTCAAGAGGTCACGAGAGTTCACAAAATGGCGACGTCCATACACACTAGCAGGGTATACGTTCTCTGCAAAAACATTACATTTCTCACTCTCTCCAGACGGTTCTTACCCTGGACTAACGATTAACCAAGATAATCAAGGTATTTACATCTGAATAATAACCATACTGAACACTGGAAAACACTTAAATAAGAGTAAATACCGTTTGAATGGACATTGTGTTTAAAAACATGTGTTTGACAACTCCAAGATATTTACAACATTTAAACTACTGTCACACTGGTGGCACTACAGTCAGTGGCTATTATTGAACAATTCAGGGAAATATCATACTTCATGACAAACAATCCAGTAAAATACCACATTTTTACAATACTAAGTCTACACCAGCTATGTGGCCATTGGCTAGCTCCTGTTCACAATATGATAAATAGCACACAAATTGACAGACACTACATATACATATAGACAGAGCACAAGTAAAACACACAGATCACAATACATGTAAACGTAAAAACATTTTCATACACAAGATTACAGTTACATATACAACGTTTTTGAGCCTACCTGTAATCAAGTCTTCATCTTTAGAAATATATACATTACTGTAGTGTATACAGGATTTTTTTTGCCTTTTTCACCCTCCATAACAAGGGCCAATTTATCATTACAACGAACATCGTAAACAACACAATATACATAGTAGTTACAATGAAAATGTGAAAGATGAATTTGATATTGGAAGAAAATGGGTTTTACTGTCAAAGGTCGAAAATATGACTGGGCGATAATTTGCATACATATCACACACAAACACACACATATATATATATACACACTCCTATATACCACAATCACATATTACATGATGGTTGTTTTCCTACATCCTCATTGGTTGAATCATAATGACCTGGAGGTCGGTGATTGTGATATTGACTCTTGTCTTGCTAAGTTTAGAAACAGCAGGTCAATATTCACTTTATGACGTCATTTCAATTGTAACGTCACAAATATTTGAATGTATTTTCCTCCTGACAATCTTTATCCATTCTATCTTTTTGAATGATTGAAACATTATTTAGCATCTAATAAAACGAGGACTTTCATTTCTTCTCGGTCAATATCACTTTCGCAGGTCCATATATAACCACATATTCAGCCCAACAAAGTCCATAGTTGATTAATATCACACTGACATATGTACAGCCATTGTAAGCTATTCATTAATAACATATAACAAAGGAGACTATGGTATGGGGGAGGGGCTTGTGTATAAATATACTGTAATTTATAAGTCTGTATAAATTACACAGATAATCCAACCTGGTACAGATGTTTATCAAACTTCCATACACCAATACTTCAATGGATAAATGTTGTTGTTTTTTGTTGTTGTTTTTTTCATCAATTTCATGCTTCCCTCAAATCTGTATATATATATTCAAATGCAATGTTACCCGTAATAGTTTTGATATATGGTCTGTTTTGCCTAGTATATACTTTTATCACTTCAGACATATATTGCACGTATAATTCACATTTAATATGAAATTAAATCAAATAGGGTAAACACGGTTTGTCTGTTTAACAGATAATAACCTGGAATACCCAGTACAGTATCATCAGAGAACATAATCAACCTAACAATCTTCACTCAGGCTATAATGTCATAGAATCAAGTTTGTTTTTGTTTTTTTTTACAGAATTCTATCATTTCCTTCATCTTCTGTTATATACACAGCAAAAACTATACATAATATATACACAAAGAACACCAGTGGACCCAAGTGAATATTTTCCCCCTCCCTTGGTATAACTCGTCAAAGTCTTATCTTAAGGCAATATTCAATCACAACAAGCTCAGGATAGGTTGGTTTCTTTATTGTAGGTCTACCGGTTTCGCCCGAACATGTGGGCTTCTTCAGAACTGAAGGGTAAACACTGGAGAGTTCCACTGTCTCACAATAACCTTTCCCTAATTTTTGTTTTTAAACAGTCTGTAATCCCAACTTTTTGTCATCTGTATGAGGCTCCTTAACCCACTGACATTAATGACACCTCCCTTAAACTCTCATCATAACAGGTTAATATTACATGCTACAGATGTTTTTTGTTGATGTTGCTATTAACATGAACTTTACTTGTATAAATTATGGTTCACACAGGTCTTGCAAAACCTAGACTTTGATGATTGTTTAAGGTCCCATAGGAGCAACACAATTGAAATGCATGAGAAAAGATCTCGAGAAAAAGAGGATGATTGGAGAAATCCTGAGGATACCTAAAAAAAAAGTTGATTCCTTGAAACGTTGAAGACTATTCATTTCTTGCTGAATAAAGAAACTAAACATGACAAATATATTTATCCTTAAACTGCTTTTTGTTTGTGATTTAAAAATGGCACTTCGTTTTTCAAAATTACCTTAGAGACCCATGATTAAACCTTAACCGTTGAGCCAAGAAGTTTGTATGAACCCAGTTGTCTTCAACACTGTTCGATTTGAGCTTGACAAGGCTAAACAAATGAAAAGTTTGAATGAAATGATAATGACTTAAGCACCCTATACAGCCATTCCAGATAGATCGTAGCCAATCTCCCAACAGTAAATCTTCACACAAACATAGTAGCATCCCGAACTTCAAAGAGGTTATTGCAAACATATACAATTCGGTGATAGGCTACGATCAATCTGGAATGGCTGTAATTTTTTATAATATTTATGATCCAAATGATACCCTAACCGTCGCTTTCATGGGGCCACGACAGATTGGACACTTTTTGAGAGCAGGAGCACACACAGGACAGCTGACAAGATGACCACAGGGCAAAAAGACAATGGCCACTGGGTTTTGGAGACATATCTTACACGAAATTCGCTCCTTCATTGTAGCAATCTCTTGTTCCAGTCGAGCTTTTGGTACTGTAATAGAAAACAAAGTTACAATATTAAATCTAACAAAATATTGGTCTACTGGTATCCTCTTTAAAATCCTCTCTAAAATTCTGTTTAAAACTAGTGTTGTTTACCCGCTGGTGTATCTCACCTGTTATTTACCTGCTGGTGTATCCAACCTGTTGATTACCTGCTGGTGTATCCAACCTGTTAATTACCTGCTGGTGTATCTAACCTGTTGTTTACCTGCTGGTGTATCCAACCTGTTGTTTACCTGCTGGTGTATCCAACCTGTTGTTTACCTGCTGGTGTATCTAACCTGTTAATTACCTGCTGGTGTATCCAACCTGCTGTTTTCTTATTTCTTTCTTTTTTTGTTCTGGTGTGTTCTTATAAAAATGCTTGTTTGTTATGCCTCCTAGGGTAATTACATTGTCCAGTTGCAGTGCCCTTTGATTTCAGCAGAAGTTTAAACCCTTACATAATACACCTACCTGATAATTTACCTTTGTTTTAAATCCTTGAATATACTATTGTAACCATATTGCTGAATCACGTTTTCCTGAACTTGATGTGTGTTTCATCTGGTTTATATCTCTCAGACTTGATTTGTTTTTTCCTAACTCCCTGATGTGTATTACTTTAAACCTGATAATAATTTTTAATTAAGATGTACAATCAGTATATCTACCTGACATTTTGTCGAGTAAGACTTGTTTGGGATGCCGCTGTGCTGGGACCACATAAAGATCAGGATCTAAGTCTCCAACATCTTCCTTGTCCATGATCATCTTCATTAACTTCTTCCCACTCATTGAATGCCAACCTAGATAAGAAAGCCAAACCACTGCTTTACTACAAAGTTATAGTCTGCCTTCACCACTAAACAGTGACATGCACATACAGAGAAAACAATGTAGGACCCACAAACTCTATGCATGCTTTAACAATTGAGCTACCTGGTCGCTGTTAAACGTTCCAGTCCAGTTTCGGTACATTACTCCTTTTTTTTCCAAAGTCATCGCCCCTGAAAACAACACTATTTACAACCCAGGTTCAGGTATTCCCTTGCCAAGCAATCACCCAGTATTTGTACCAAGGGTGGGTCACATGCACCTCTGTATCAGGAAAGAAAAATGCACAGCTAAACCGAGATTTGAACCCAGGACCTCCAAACTCTAGACGGACGCTCTAACAATTGAGCTTCCTGGTCACCGGTGAATGACCCAATCAAATTCCGCTACACTTACATGGTTCGAAATGACCAATAGGCTACCTTGTTCTGTTTCCCTAGCAAACTTATTCAAACTCATTAAAACAAGTCTTTGAAAAAGGTGACATGTATATGTGAAGTGACTTTATACCTTCTAGTTTCAGGAACTCATCCAGACATTGTTTGACCACCCGTGGTAAGTAGCCCATGTTCAGAACACTCTGGGCTGCATCACACAGAAGTGGGTTTTTTCTTTCTGCATCAGATGGAAACTGATCAGGTCTTCCTGCAACAGAAAATGAAACATGAAATTATTGGCCTGCAACAAACATAAATGTATACCTCTTCAAAATCCAGTACGAGAGACTTTACATCTAAACTCATTGGTTTGTGAAGAACAATTTCAAACTAATTGTCGGAAATCATGGAGAAAATGAATTAACATAAACAATCAGAGCCACTGGGAGGATCTTTCTTGTCATCATGCTTAAATATATTCATTATTGCTGCATCACACTAGGATATAAGGGTCTTGTGGCTTACATTGTTAAAACCAATCTCCTATGGGAGTTACTCCCCTTGCATCACTATAATAAAAATTGGCCGGAGTTCTTCTTAAATCCATTATTTTCTTTTTAATTTTAATCTGTATCAACTTATGCACAAACTAAGGTCTTTAAGAAACTTCCAAAATATTCTACTGAAGAGTCATCTATATCCTTAAGAAAAGACAGTGTTAAATATGTGGGTTTTTTTCTTTTTAAATTAGGTGTGTAGTATTGATTTAATGTTTTCCGTCATGATGTGTTCAACATTACATCTCGCTGTGAAAATAACACCTGCTTAGAAATAACCCTTATAGATTATGTCCCCAAAATCTAAGCTAAGTTAATTGTTTTGTTTCTAAAAGTACAGTGATTTCATCTAATTGAATAATATCTACAGTGCATCAGTAGAAACTACTAATTAACTTGATAATCATGTAATTTAAAAGCATTTGTTTCTTTTATTATTGATATCAATTTTTATATTTTAATAGTAATGGGATACTTGGAGATGTTCTCATTATAGGATGTCGTGTACAGGTTATTGATATTTAATTATGATATTCAGGAAATAGATGATGAAAGACACTTCCTCGTAAAATATCCACAATATGAAGATATTAGGTTTGAACTTTTTTCCATGGCAACGGGAAAAATTCCAGACTTCACAATGTTAGACGAGGAACAGAAATTCATCACCATAATGTACTGTAATAGCATCCAGACTCAGCTTTCAACTTGTTTATTACAGTAGACGCAAAGCACATATAGTGCAGTGATATCATCTATTTCATACAGTACAGTGATATCAACTAGGTGAATAGTATCTATAGTGCACCATTAGAAACTACTAATTAACTTGATAATCATGTAATTTAAAAGCATTTGTTCTCTTTCTTTTTTTATTGATATCAATTTTTATATTTTAATAGTGATGGGATACTTGGAGATGTTCTCATTATAGGATGTCTTGTACAGGTTACAGATATTTAACTATTATGAAACCACATGTCGATCGTCCTGAAATACTAAAAAGTTTTTCCTTGGTAATGTTTTATAGACGGAACACAACAGTAATGTCTTTTTATGAGTATTTTAGGTGAATTTATTTTTACGATGAAGTGATATGTATCATGTGTTTTAATAGTGTCTCGTAGGTCAGCATTTGGCCGGATATTAATTCCTGTTAATGGTTTTTATATTGTATTTGTTTTACTGTGAATTAATATGTGACACTTTAATAAAATAATTTTATTATTATTATTATCTTACCTGGACGTTGTGATGTGACAAGATCACTTTGTGGGTTTGCTCTGTCCGTTTCTGTCTGTTCTGCCTGATAGCCTACAGCATTATTTTCATTCCAATGCCGTTCATTGTTTTCTCTTAGAGCTTGTTGCTGGAATAGTCCATCAGAAGATGCTTCTTATTATTAAATACACCAGGTCAATCAGACATTACCACTTCTATATAAGACACAGTTATTGATATTTCTAACTGTTACATACTTTTGCATCACAAAATTTGTATACCTGTTTCTGTGAAACTGAAGTTCCTACCGGTACATACACCACCTGACTTTTAGAAAATTTTACAATATATCTGGTGCAATTTAATGAATCTTAAGCCTGGACCTTCCATCTCCAACCCTTGATTTACTAACATAACTGTCAAATCCAACCATCACAACCGACCCCAACTGTAAGAATAAATATCCCTTGATATCTATAGAGTCAACTTTAAAGGCAAACTGTCTTGATGTCAGTACATGTAGTTAAAGCCACGCTTTCTCTGTATGTTTTTTGAATAATTGAATCATTTAATTCACTTATATTTTAAAATCAAATTAACTGTAAAGATCAAACAACACTATATTATATAGATCTGAATGAGGGTGACCCTTACCAGCTCAGCATTGCGGACAGCATCTTGAACAAGATCAACAAAAGATTGACCTTTCTTCTCAAGGACGTATGCACACTTGGGTGACCACCGTGCGTGTTCTACCCAGGCGTTGTCATCTTTGTCCCAGTTCCTTAACCCAATCCCACACAAAAAACACCTTACACTGTCTCCATTCACTGTAACATAATACATGAAGGGTTGAAAGGTCAATTAAGTATATACACATATATACATGTTTTTATATATTGCTTTACAGATTTATCTTACAAACCTTTGCAAAATGAAAACTCAAACAAGAGATGATATTTCTGAACATGTGTGTGAAGTTTTTTGACTATCAGATAACAAATGAAGTCTTTAGAGCAATTTCTATCAAAATTCTATTTATAGTAATGGTGACGTAGCTTTGGAACGCAGAAGGTCGTAATGCAAACCTAAGTAAGAGGTGATGTTTCTGAACACGTGTGAAGTTTTGTGACAATTGGATAAAAAGTGACATCTGTAGAACAATTTCTATAAAACAATATTTATAGTAATGGTGATCCAGGATCTCAAATAAGAGTGTTGTTTAAGAACAAGTTGGGTTAGGTTTTTTGATGATCGAATAAAAAAGGACGCCTGAAGAGCAATTTCTATCAAACACCAATTTTTAAAATTCTATTTATAGTAACAGTGACCTTGCTTTTGACCACAACGTATGAATGTACAGGCGAATCCCTATATACCCTATATATTACAACTCGGAGACATAATAGTGTATACAGCCATACATGCATCATGCATGTATACAAATTATATCATCAGAAAAAATAATTGCTGATAAAACATACATGAAAAAAAGAATCCAGCCCCTGACATCATTTCTGGTGACTGTTGGAGTCGTGCTGGCCAGTTTCGGAAGGTTCCACGCCTCTTTGGTTCATCTGCATACTCTGGGTGTTTGGCTATTCCTTGGTATAATCGCTGATTCCTTGACACAGGATTTTGCTGTTGCTTTGAAGCATTTTGTTCAACATTTGCTGCTGAGTTTACAGAAGTTTGACTAGAATTTGATGTGTTTGTCTTTGCCTCTTGTCCATTAGGAGAATTTGTATTCCGTGGAACAGTCACATTAGGAGAGTTCGTATTTCTCCCAACATCCACAGTTTGTGGTCCACCTGCATTGTCACTTACCACAACATCATCAAGTTTATTGTCTTGTAAACACACATTGGAGTTATCCCCCCTATGTTCATTATATGCTGCAGTGCCTGTAGCCCCTAAGTCATCCTCAACAGTGACAGGACTATGGTCAGCTTCAAGACTGTCTAGACTTTCATAGGAGGTAGATATCACAGAATCTTCCATGGTGTTTTATATTCTGTAAAATGAAAATATTCACAAGTAAACAAGAGATCCTAGAAGGAACTTGGCGCCCCATCATGAAAGGATCATTATCTGATTTACAAAAAAAGATATTTCACATTCTTTGTTCTTCATTTTTATTACAGGTACTATTACCAATTCCCACATTGGAATTCTTAAATGGGAAGTGTCATATGTGATTTGCTACTCTTGCAAATGTTATTATATAAGAATTGCATAACCTATATATGCAAAATGCTATAAATTTACAATTCTTACATAAAAATTGCTGCCAATGAAGGAAAATTTTCATTAGGGTCAGGGGTGTTTTTAAAAGAGGGACCAAGGGGAGATTTCAGAAAGATCTCGCCAGTACTTTATGAGAAGCTTTATAGAGATAACAAAACTAAACTGTCAAAATCCAAGATGGCTACCTGTTGACCATTTCATTTTTCCAATCAGTCTCAAAAGTATAGGTGCACAACTACAGACCAAAGGAAATTCACATATTGGATTTCACAAAATAACCCCAAGAACATTCTAAGAAAATAGTAATAAAAATTCTTAAATGTCAAATAATAATAATAATTCAAGGTTCTTATATACCGATTTATCACAACCTAGTTCTTAGGTCGTCTCAAAGTGGTTCACAAATTAAAAATCCAAGATGGCCACCTATCGGCCATTTCATTTTTCTAATCAGTCTCAAAAGTAAACGTGCACAACTACAGACAAAAGGAAATTTACACATTGAATTTAAAAAAGATCCTGTCAGTACTTTCTGAGAAATAGTAATAACAATACTTTAATGTCAAAATCCAATATGGCCACCTGTTGGCCTTTTCATTTTTCCAATCAGTCTTAATAGCAATTGTGCACATCTGAAGACCAAGGGGAACCTAAATATCAAATTAGAGAAATATCTTGAGTTCTTTCTGGAAAGAGCAATAACAAATCTAAATTGTCAAAATCGAAGCTTGCCACGTGTTGACCATTTTATTCTTCTGATCAGTCTCAAAAGAAATATGCACAACTAGGAACCATGGCAATCCCTCCAGTACTTTCTAAGAAAAAGTGATAACAAACCGTGACTGTCAATATCCAAGATGGCCACCTGTCAGCCTGTCTCATATTTATATATAATTTTGTTTGTAGTTTTTATTTTCTCATATCTCCTCTTTAAGGATGTACTCGTTTGAGAAGTCAAAAAATTTCAGTATAAACCTTTTTTCTTACATGTATATGCATTTTTGGAAAAAGAGTGTTAATGGCATAGCAGAAAATGCCAAAAAGATATCATATGCATGTCCATGTGCACGTTTTTGTGCTATGATCGGTCAAAGATACCAATTTAACCTATTATGTGATTTTAGGTGATATTTTTGTTTTGACCATTTGCAGAACAAATTCATAAAATATCTTCCAAGTGTGGTATCAGATATGTATGAATGTTTGCAGAATTGATAAAATTAGTATTTTCTTTTAAAAGTTTGGAAGGAAAATTTCTTAAATTTATTCTTTCAACTCAGAAAAGAGATTTAAGTTACCCCTACCCCTTATTTTTCAATGGGGGTCTCTGTGTACTTCCCTTTTTGTTCCATTACTATTTGTGTGTTATTGTTCATCTTTTTTGGGGGGTCAAAAATAAAAAGTGCTTCAGTTACACTAAATATGTAAAAAGAAAATACCAATAACATTTAATTTTCCACTTTGTTGCATACTATTTTCATCATATTGAACAGTATAAAGCTGTACAGTAATAATGTACCTGCTATAACTAAAACTGACGACACAATGAGGATTTCAGTGATCAATCCAGTGTCAAAAAAGTGCAAATACACATTTTCAAAATATGGCCACCAATTTGGTTATTTTTTTCTAAATTCTTTTTAAAAAAGTTATACAAACAACAAGCTTCTAGTTTTTTGACACATTTTTCAGATGTGTGTTTGCTTGTAAAATTGGTCCTAATTTGTTAAATATTACGAAAACCTGTTACAGGAGATCAAAAACACTTAATGTGAAAGAAATAGAATTGATCATTGCAATATGAGAAAGATCTGTTTAGTTCTTCCTTTAGCCATTTCATTTTTATGAGCAGTCTCAAAATATAACATGCACAGCTAGCTAGGGACCAAGGGCAACTTACATCGCGTACTGCCTTAGAAATAGCGATAACAAACCTTCTCTTACAAAATCCAAGATGGCTGCCTGTCGGCCATGTTGTTAATTAAATCAACCTCAAAAGTTGCCCTGCACAACTAAGGACAAAGGGGAATCTACATATAAGATTTGAGAAAGATCCATCGCGTACTTCCTGAGAAATAGTACTAACAAACCTTCACTATCAAAATCCAAGATGGCTGCCTGTCGGCCATGTTAATAATCTGATCAGTCTCAAAAGTTGCCCTGCACAACAAGGGACCAAGGGGAACCCACATATCAAGTTTGAGAAAAATCCCTCTTGTGCTTCCTGAGAAATAGCGATAACAAACCTTCACTATCAAAATCCAAGACGGCTGCCTGTCGGCCATATTGTTTATCCAATCAGTCTCAAAAGTTGCCCTGCACAACTAGGGACCAAGGGGAACCTACATATCAAGTTTGAGAAAAATCCCTTTTGTACTTCCTGAGAAATAGCCATAACAAACCTTCACTATCAAAATCCAAGATGGCTGCCTGTCGGCCATGTTGTTTATCCAATCAGTCTCAAATTCAAGAAAGATCCCTCCGGTACTTCTTGAGAAATAGCGATAACAAGAATTGTTTAAGGACGGACGAAGGACTACGGACCCAGGGTGATTTGAATATGAATAGCCCACCATTAAAAATTAAAACTGAAAAGCGTTCATCAATGAAAAGTTTAGTTATGGTGATCAAACGAATAACAGCTAAGCTATAGACAATAGAGTTAGGTAGTGTTATATTGAGATAATACAAAGTTAGGCAGTTTTCACTTACAGTACCTTATGGTATGGTTTGTCCTGAGTTCATCCAAAATACTAACTAGTATTCAAGTTTCTCTACTTATTCAATATGTAATGAATATAAATATAGCTTAGGTAATTCATGTATTACCACTACAGTGTACTTAGAAATCTACAGAGCTCTATAAACAGTCCTTAGTCATTTAGGAAAATCTATTATATCATACTTATTTTTAGCTGTGATATACATAGCCCATATGTAAATTCCCAAACAACCTATTTTTAGAACTTGAGCAATTCCTATATATAGCTGGAAAGAGAACAGTGATTCTTTTATGATTTTGTTTCTGGAAAATCATAACCATACACAGGGATGTGTCAAGTTATCCCATTGATCGGTGAAAAATACACGAATGCAATTGAAAAGAATTAAAAACCGCACTCTATATACTGTGACTGTCCCTGCCATACATAATATCCTTTTCCAAATGTTGATAAGTCCCATTACTAAGAAAGTCCTGATAGTAAAAAAAAAAAAAACAGGAAAAGATACATGTAAAAAAACAGAACTCAAAATATCAAACATTTTGTCTCTTCAAAAGGATTTTAAAAATGATATATATAAATCAATATTTTTTGTTCTGTTTCCTTCTACTTAAAATGTTCCCCATCCTATAGGACTGGGAGTTCAAAACAGTCAAATAGATATCCAGAATATCAATCTATTTAACCACACAACAATTTATAACTTATTTCTTTACCAATTAATTTAACAATAACCTTTGGGAAGATCAGCGAAAAAACGATATTATAAAGAATCATCTAAAGTATTCAAAATAATTTCAAATGTGTTAGGGGTTTCGATCAACGTAAATATCATAATTAATTGGTGGTGACATTTTGACCGAAAGTTGATCAAACGGCTAAAACGTGTATTATAGCTGTCCCAATCACCTGCTCTCTGGATTGGCGCATGTGATAGTTTGTTTTGATTTATTAATTTATTATGTATAATAGCTGTTCTTAACAAAATTATAATATGGTCTATATATTTTTACATTAAGATGATTGATCCCTGTTATGTAACTATATGTTTTTATACTGTGTAACTATATACTTGTACGATGTAATTGTGATATATGACACTATAATAAACAAAATTGACTTGACTTGACTTGACTATATATATATATATATATAT